AGAGTGGGTGAAAGATCGAACCCCTGCTGCTGACACCATGAAGACGTTAGATTCAAGAAACCGCTTCATAACTCCAGGAACGCACTCGAGGCCGACTATCAACACACCGCGGTCGGCTCATTCTCTGGAAGATCCCCCTTTTCGGAGCCGATAGTGGCTACTCGGAAGGACCATGTGGTTGTTCGTTTAGATTACCCTTCAGTAACATGTTTTGTTTCCCACTTGTTTTTCTAGTTGTTTAGATTTCCATGACCGCTTCATCTTGTTACCGTAATTTCTGGCCACCCTGTGTAAACCTCTCGTTCCCGTGATTTAGCATTGTCGCCAACTCTACTATTGCCAAGTTTTGACACCGAACCCCACTTCTCGTTTGAGTTTGGTAAGATTTATCTTTGGATTGGTGCTCTGCTACGTTCCCGCTCAACGACCGCACCAGCCACGGCGCCGAAGGCCGCTCCCTTGATGACAATCGCCTTAGAGGAACAACGCTCAAGAAAGCGTGGAGTAAACATATCCCATTAAAGATAAGCATGCTTGTAAGATAGAATCATACGACAGCTGAGTTGCTATAAAAATGTATTTTTGGAATTCTCACGTTCTCAAAAACAACCGAACTATAGGAAAACCGGAACAAGTAGTAGGGATCCACAATGCTGAGATTCATTGACAGCCATGTTTGGCGTTTATATAGGGGAGAACAATTCGCAGTGGTAAATGTACAATGATCCATCAAATAATGTCTGTTCTAAAAAGAATACAGTACAAAGAAATATTTAGTTATTTTAGAAGATGATATGCTGAACAACACAAAGAGTTAAAGGATGAAGAAACAACAACATAGCACAATATTGAGAACAACAAAACCACTTGGTAAAACACTCGAGATCGTTGATGAAAGCGACCAGATGTCAGTTAACCAATCCTAAGAACGCGAAATCTCTTCCTAAGTATTTTAAAATGATGTGTTAGAGCCAGGTTTCGCGTCGTCACTACAGAGTATCTCACTACAATCTTCCTATAATGACACATCCAAAAAGTCGGACTGCATTTGCTCCGGGTCGAACAGAGGTTCTCGTGCTGTCTGAAAATTACGCTATAGAGGAGAATATCAACACGTCCTTAGCTCGTATTTATGGAGCATCTGCATTTATCGATTTATTTACTTTTTATTTGTTTATCGGATGAGTGAATAAGGGTGACGAAGAAAATCAAATGAAAGCCATGAAATTCGCAACACAAAAGCCAATTTTGAAAAAATGTCCTGTGCAAGAGTGCGTTGAAAGAATGCTAAAAGCAGTGCTGCGAACAAAACTGAGCAAAAACAAAATCATATAGAAAGAACATACCGAGATACCCCCGAAAGATCAGCTGTAAGTAAAAAGGTAGGCGCCGAGTTATGAAGCTAATCTCTAAGGATGAGCCTTTTAAAGTAATCCAATGATAGATCTACTAGGTTTTGGCAGTAGAGTGTGTCGAAACGAGTTCGGGTGCTATACAAGTGGGGTGTAGCACACCACTTTTCACGCAATGTCAATGAGCTGCCCTCGACCCCCCCCCCCCCTCCCTTAAAGAATTGCCCCCCCGCGCGTGCTGCTTCACGCAAACTCTCCCAATTCTCGTGACAGTATGATTTAGCAATCAGGTCAGTCCCCACGACACACATTTCTGTTCAATAAATGCAGGGCGTGCCCTACCTTTGCTACCTTGTATACGGCACCCGATTTCTATATGATCCTTCTTATCTACTAAATGATGCCAATGCTCATTGATTAAAATTCATGGAGATAAAAACCATGGTGCATGAGAAAAGCCGTTTCGTACGGAAGCTGGGCATTAGTGGTGTTAAAGGATGAAGGATAAACAATTTGCCGTGATTCAACTCCCTTTGCGAAGTCGTACCATCCTTACTCCATTTGCAAATTCTTCTATGTGACGTTTTGAATGCGATTTTGTCATACAATGACTTCCGGCCCACCGATACGAGCGCGCAGTTTATACCTGCATCGCAGACAAGTCTGGTGCCCAATCATGTCCGACTGATCGAAGGATGAAGGTTTCGTTGTCCAGGCGACTGAGGACGCCAAGATTACTACCCCGGACCCTCGCGGGTGACGTGCCACTTGCCACTACAAACGCCGCTCCCACTGTGCCGTTAGTCATCTAAAACCTTGCAAAGCACTTCCTTCTTCAAAAATAGACTCGGCCTGGGCACAGGAAAAGACCTCAACTGCGGTGAGCCTACCTCATTCTTCCCTTCCTCCTCCTGTTTAGCTTGTTATAGGATGCCCTTGTCCGTAAGCGCTCGAAGCAAGAGACTAGGCGGGATTCTTTAACCGTCCCTGGCATTTGCGTCATCAATATTTCCATTAGGATTAAGAGTGCTCTTGGTTTCTTGCGCAGTACTGACGGGAATGCTTTAGTTGGAGGATCTATTCTTTGGTAATTCATTCGATTGCTAAATCAAGTAACATCTACCGGGGTCATCTCCGTCGTGGAGATTTTTCACACTGCAAGAATGATTGCAGCATGGTGTCAGCTGTATATGGGCCGATTTTGCTCTATCAAAGTGGTGAGGGAGAAAATGGAAGAAAACTTACTTTCTTGTTGAAATGGCCAAGTTGGTTGGTACTGGTATTAATGATTCACGATGTTCCCTCAATACCTGGGCGCTAAGCGCTCTCATCTGAAACATTAATTTCAATAACAAGACTTATTTAAATTACAAGCAATTGTAGATCCAGACATACCTCGAACACGTACTCGCTTTCTTCCAGTGCAAACCGTTCATAAGGGATCCTTTGACAAGATCAAAAACTAGCGGTGGGTTATGCATGATCAGCTGTTCATTCCTGGACAAGTTGTGAACGTACCCTAAAAAATGGGATTTCTTTTTAGCTCTAGAAAAAAGTATTGAGACTTTTAGTTGGATAGTCCTTGGAAATAACCTTACTTACTCCGCCACTTCACAAGCTCCCCCCAACCCTTACGAGGCCACCCTCGCCCCTAAAACTGGGTAGAAAAAAACGTGAAATCACAGCCGATCATTCACAACATGACGTGAGTGAATTACATAGAATCACATGCACTAATTTATTGTTCAAAACAAAAATGCTGAATGACATTGAAAAATAGGCTCATTAGAGCTTCCGAAAATTGGTTTTCATCATTCTAGTCATTATCTCGTCATAAGTTCAGCGTGATCTTCGATGTGTACTTACATCATATGTACTTAAGTTCGTAGCTAACAAACCCTGGTTCAAACGCTATTTTTATAGCCGCCCATGAGGAGGTGTGAGGTCGGAAACAAAGCCAAACCCACTCACCAATCGGCGCGAGGTTTTCCATTCGGGCAGAAGAACGGAAGATTCGCATCAAGGGTATCGTTCAGGAATATCGGAGACGTTCGATAATGAATCTGAAATTCCGAGTATTAAAACGCTGACTGAAGGTTCCATAATATGCTATATGTGGCGTTTTTAGTCAAAATAACCTCTACGTGAGCTGCTACTGGCCTTACCTCTTGCTCGCTAAACAATGCTTTATGAGGTGTCTGCGTCTCGCTTGTCCGCTATGATCTCTCTTTTGTTCTCTCAGTGAAGCACCCAGTGCTTCTTTTTGAAAGCAATTCCAGCTCCCGAACAAGATGGTCTTCATTTCCAATGTGACCGCTATCTCTTTTTATTTTTGCTTTACTGATGGTCCACTTCACACCTCTGCTTTCATTTGCAGCGATACCTAGGTGATCGTGGAAGCTGCGTTCAAAACCACTGTAAAGCCTTCAAAGTGGGAAAGATGGGGCGTAAATTGGTAGACTGAGTGGCTTTCAAAAACAGACACTGGGTTCCGCAATAAGAGAACAAAAGAGAGATCACAGTGGACAGCAAGACGCAGACAATCCCATGTGTTATTTTAGCCGTCATTGATCGAATGGATTTCAAGCATTTTCCCATGCATATGAGACCTAGAAATATCTTTCACATACCTTAATGTTTCCAATTCGAATCGCCATTAGTTTCGAGTTGCAGTAAAAGATGATAGGTCGTTTCCGCCCCAGATAACCCGAAGGCTCGTCACTTGTTCCCTGTCAACTCATCCAGTATATTTGTCCCGTCGAGCGGCATTTGTCTCCTCTGAAAGAAAAAAGGAATTCTGTACTCATTAGTCACTTGTACAACCCTGTTTCGTTACGTTGGAATATTTAGCACATATTAACAATGAAATATGACATTGTCAAAAAAGCAGCACTTTCGCGTGTTCTTTGATGCACGTCAGCAGCTGATCAAACATTACTCTTGACGATTTCTTGGGTAGAGCTCCATACTTCTCTGTGCCTGACCAGGAAGGTCTTTCAGGGCGTGCAAAGCTTTTCCCAAATGTCCTTTTCATTATATAGGGCATGCCGGGACCACGAGACCAATGGTCCAATCTTTCAAAACGGCTCTCGTCCTGGTTCGATGCTCGGTAGTGAAAACTTTAGCATTTCAGAGTTTATGTGGTTCTAACGGTCCTAAGCTTACGCCCGATCTTTCAGCGCGAACAGAGTTGGCAATACAACGATGACGGTACCAGCACAATTGTTCTCTATGTAGTCTGAGTTGTTGTCCGTCAGGTGACTGTTGTATTGTGGGTGGATGTCCGGGTGCCTGTATCCAAGTCAGTCGCCACCTTCATGCGATCAGTAATTTCCGATCAACCGTTATAGTTATCTATGACATGACGGAACACAGAAAAGGGATGTGATATTCTGCTTTCGTAAATATGGTTGGCTGTAAATTGTTAGTAAGGGTAAGGGGAGGGGATATGCGAAGGTTCCAGACTAGCTGCTACACAAGGGTTGGGATGGTCACCGAATCTCATTGCGTTACTTCTGGGTATACTATAAGCTCTGTGAGTGAATCGGAATGAATGTGAGGCAGAGGCAAACGTGGATGTAGTCATGGTATGGATGATTCCATGAAGCATCGACAAAAAGGTTTAATATGGATGTACAGAGGAACGTAGCGCGTAATTTACCGTTCATGCTGATATGTCGTTTTCAATTACTTTGAATTATTTTAATTCCTTTAATCCTTTTGTAAAGCGTTACACAGTGTTATCTTTATGAGTTCAGAGATCGAGAATTTCCAGCTTTTTTCAATTTTTCAATTTCCAGAATTCCCAATTCGCTTCCTAGTGGAGGAATTGCTATGTATTTGACATCTTCCTGAAGTGAGGGAGGAGGGTGAAGAATGGTGTTTTCTCGATGTTTACCCATTATCAGATAGTCCATGAAATTCGATAATCTTCTTAAAGGCTGCCAAGATACATATGGTGTGGCTCTTGCACGAATGATGCGATGTATTGGTGCGAAGTGGGCCGGCAGTAAAGAAAAAGGAAAAGAATCGTTGGGCTCACTCACCTTCCTAATCGGCTGTGCTAAGGGAATGAGAGACTAAGCGCGGAGAGGAGAGTATGAGGCGAGAGAGCGCTACAGATGAGAGAGCGCCAGACAACAGCCTGATAAGAGAAAAAAATCTGCAGCTTAGCAGCTTACTTTGCAAGGCCCAAGCGCTCTTGTCGGTTGGTTTCCGTGCACGGAACGCCACATTTGTGATTGTCCTCTAGGGGTCTATACTACAGACCGAAGAGAAGCGTTCACACGACCTCTGCCTGGGTTGTGCCTTTAACTACGATTTAAACAAGGAAGTGTAGATATGGTATTATACTATTGAGCAAGGATCCTTGTGAAACCAAGAAATATCTTTCTCGATGTAAACAACTCTGAACTGCTAAATTAGCAATCCCGCAGAAAAAGGGCGACTTCCTGCTTGCTAATTTTGCGGTTCTCGGTCTCTCGTTCTAATGTGCAGGGATTTGGAATGAGATAAGGCAGATGCAGAAGTGACTGGCTTACCGAGAATGGGCACGTCTGCATATCCCGGAATGTAGCGTAGAGATCCATGCTGCTGATGACCTCATTCGACACCCGTCCGGCTTTTACCGTACCTGGCTGCCAAGCTATGAACGGGATTCGAAAACCGCCCTCGTATGAATTCGATTTTCCTCCTGAAGCAAAGTAGCCATAGAAGGGTATGTATAAATTTCAAAAGGAAAATACGCACCTTTAAGACCAGCGGTGGAGCCTCCATTCAGACACAGCTCAATATGTGGTCCATGGTCGGACATTCAAAATGACAAGTGTATTCTCGGCTATGCCGGCTTTGACAATGCTATTCAGTACTTCACCAACAGCCCATGACATTTCGTTGATTGAATCGCCATAAATACCTGAAACAACCACCGATACAATCCTTGCAGTAATAAAGGGAACATCGGTCGAGATGTCTTTGCTGAGATAATCATAGAAATCGAGCAGATTAGTATGGCAATAAATGGGTATAAAAGCCCGGTCAATTACACAAAAGGATGGAATTGACTTGTTGAGTAACTAGCCTTTAGCGAATTCAGTGTTGGGGAAGCGAACTTTTCGCCCTACAGGGTTAGACTTAAAGGCAGGGATCACGATGGCTGGAGGGCGGGCTTCTTGATGACGTCATCGAACATTAATGCGGATAGGCTTTAGGGTACGGTATCACACTCAACAGTGCGCTGAGGGGTTTGATTCACCAATGACCCTCAAAGACACGTCATTCGTGATCACTGTTACACGCAGCGCAACATCTGGCCGCTGTCCTACATGAATCATGGGTCGTTAGCAGGCAAGCGACGCGATGCGGCCGGAATCAGAATGTCCTGCAGCATCAACTCTGTCAGGTTAATCAAGCAATCACCACCTGTGGTATAGGCTAAGTTGATTATAATCTTGAATCGATGAAACTCTGGCGGGTACTGTCGGTAAAACTGACCTCGAACGGAAGAACCGCGGAAATCTGCGTTTGCGAATTGGGCGCTGTGCACTTGTGGGAATGAGAAGTAGAAGAAGAACGGCCGCTCCTTCTATTCTTCTAATAAGAGTAGTTTGCCCAGGGACTAACCGGGTAGAGCTTTGTAATAACTGCTGATTTCGCTTGGACCTCTAGCGAGGAGCAGAGAATTGAAATAACAAAACAGTTACAACAGGAAATTGTGATCAAATGACCTTCTGCTGACCTTAACCGTATCGTCTTAAGCCTTTCGAGATAAGCTTCAAAGAAATGAAAACAGCAAAGCGACAAACCGTGGTCATTCTCATGTTGAGAAATCGCCTCCAATCGTGGACGAGATTTTCCGTCATCCATTCGAATCTCACGGTTTTTGTACAATATCGTCGCCGTCGTAGAGGAAACACATTGCCGCATCTGGTCCTTGTGGATAGAACTCCTGAAAAGTTTCCTATTGATCCAAAAACTTTGCATGCTTGACTGAAATTTGTTTTTTGCTTCAATGTTATTCCGTTTTGAAATTGCCATATTATAATTGAACTCCTTCACACCCATTAGTTATGGAGCCTGTATTGTTGAGGTTTCGTTAGAGCTTTCAGGCCTCGTTCATTAGGGCTTCAGGGTCTGGGAACTATTCGATGTAAGTCTGTCCGTACGGAAGTAATGACTATCAATTGAGTCATGCTAACTGGCCCGCTTCTTTGAAGGCATTGCCAATGCTGCGGAATTATCGTTCATGGAGGGTTTCTCAATACTATTGGCCCTTTTAGGGTTTCTCCAGTCACCAAATAAGCCCCCGACTGTCTCGCGGACATTTGTTTGCAGCTTGGTGATAGAATTTTTGCCGGGATGCTCTCAAGTTTGCGGCCGTCGCTGTACATCTCATTGTTTACACGGAATGGCCATTCTGTCGGAAAACGCGAAAATCTAACGACGGGTGGGAAGATTCTGCGTTGCTATCCAGTTGCATACCGAAACGTGGCTCACTCAACACACACACCTTCCCCTGCCCCCACCTCCATCACCCGTTACACTCGTATTATTTCGTAGAAACGAATTACCACATGCTAGCACCCTTGCTCAAGTCCTGGTACGGTAGTATCTACCTCACTGCTCATTTACGCATGAGCTCATGGTACTGTTTTGCTAGTACATCTGAAGTCTCCAAACACATGTTGTAGAGGATCTCTGACCTCCTACGAAAGATATCTCTCATCGGAATCGACTAGTTCGTCAAAGTCATAAAATGTCAGGGGCCCATCAAGCAGGATGGACGCAGTAGCCGCCTTCGTTGGGTATCAGACTGTTTCTGGATCTAATACCACGAGGTGTTGAATTTTGCAAGCTTCGTGGGCAATTCCCTTTTTTCCACAGCTCTTCCAATATCGACAAAAGGGCTCCCTATTGTAGTAGTAACGACTGCGCTCGTGAGACGTTGCATCGAAGGTTCAAGCCCATGCTTAGCGCAAGTTTTGGCAGACAATATGGGGAACCGACAATCGCATTTGGCCACAGTCGTAATCGCCCGTGGCTCGAAAGGGCACGTTCTCAACCTTTGCGAACTCAACTTCGTAATTTTCTTCGGTCAGCTTTTGTTATTATGATGTTGTTATTTTGCTGCCAACGAGGTTGTTAGGTGGAGAATCTTTTATTAGTGGCCTGACGTTTCGACGAGATCGTCTTCCTCAAAGGCCTAAACGTGGCTTAAGGTTTGAGATTTGTCCTTTAAACCGCCAAACGCCGCTTCTCCCTAGCGTTTCTGACGGAGCGTTAAGGAGAACAAGCGAAAACCCCGAACGAGGAAAGTTCCACGATGCCATTCTTTAGGTAGCTGGATCAACACTGTGTGTAATCTAAGGCTTGGAATTAACATTCGTTACTCACTCGTTGGTAACACCTCTTTAACGTTTTTGTCAAGTTATCCGTGGTACAGTGACAAAAGCCCGGCTATGACTTCTGTTATCCAAGGTTCAAGTCCGTGATGGGCTAGTTTTGCAGATATCGAGCGGTTTCAACCAGGATCATGTCCATGCTTCCACGTTCCTTATTACATACATATAAATGAGGAAAAATCACCACATCTAACTGCTAGTGTGAGAGTGAGGGGTGTAGTAGTGTGAGTGTCGGGGCCTGGGAGAAAAAGGAGAGCCGTGGCCATGGCTTTCAGAACGGGGAACTCTCCAAAGTGCCAATAATCTTCAATTCTGAACATTGATACTGAAAGCGGTCATTACTTATGACTCAACCTAATAGATAGCTCGTATGGACTTCTCGCGGTCTCAAAATATACTTCCTGGAACAATTTTGCTTCCTCTAACTGACTTTCTACGAATAGGGATTTGAACAGTGTACAACTTCTTATGGTTAGAACACATTGTGTGCAAATGAGCACAACTTCTTTGACCATTACGCTGTAGACGGTCGATTATTCTCTATTCTTCATGTATATTTAGTTATTCTGTGTATATCTGTAATATCATATCATTACGGCTATTAGCTTTCCAAAAAGCTTTGTGGTTTTCGCTCCTGCTTGCAAAGAGGCACATCTCAATTGAGGATGACATATTCTGTCAGAACAAAACCTACTGAGATCTATTCAATTCCACCCCAGGTTCATCTTCCGCTGAGGTAACTGATGGCTTTTGGCCATCGTAACTTCTGCGGTAAGGAAAGCACTTGCTTTTGGAGTTTCTCCATGCTGGCAAATTCAGAGCGGTTCATGAATTTTCTTGAACAGCCAAGGTTCGGGAAGCTGCCGCATTTGTTGAAGGCAAACCCCGGGATTAGCCCGACTTGTGGGATAGATACCGCGGGGAAATCGTAAGGTCCTCTACCTACCTAAATCACTCCAGCTTCGCCGCAAAAGTTGCGGCGGTAGGGCGCTAATCCTTACGGGCCTGCAACCATCGACCCCCGTTGCAACGCTTCCCACCCACCTCGATATCGGTGTGCTCTCTCGAACGGTGTGATCTCTCCGTGTGGTTTTCGGCCGCTTCTTTGAACGCCTTTGCTTCCGCCAATCGTTCCACCCCCAACACCTTTTTCAATTTTTAATATAGGCCTAACGTGGGTGATCTCCAAGAAAAATTTCATTAGCTTTCTTTTCCATTCAGGATGTCCGAACGCAAGTCATCATCACGAAGCGCCTCTATCACCAATTTTATTCCTCGGGCTTGTCTTTTAACAGCAACATCGCGTGATTGGATGGTGGATCCGCTGTGAAAATGCGTCCATCGAGGCGGAGTCTGCGCATCACTTGGAAGATTCATGTGGCGCGTCTTTCCCTCAGTATTGTAAAAAATGATCAGTAAGGCTAATCGCAGTAGAGAGATGGGGCCAGATGGGCAGTTTTCATATGGGCGCAGCGGAATAAATAGCCCATACCGACTACAGGCTAAGACTTTCAATAGTGCTCCCAGCAGTTCTCGTGCGTATCTTTCATTTCTGTGGTGGCCGAGCGCCGCGAGATACGCCTCCCCATTTTCGAGAAGCACTACCCTAAGGATTCGTCCAATCGTAGGAGTGTGTCGCTGAGAATCAAAGATACTGCCAAGTGAACGCTCGATCGCATTTTGCCATGACGGTAGGGTAAGTTGTTTAGCCACGGGTGCCCTGGGACTTCAACGAACGCTGATACTGCCGGCCCTTGGGTCGGTCTCAGAGAGAACCCTCCACATATGGAGCAAAAGGTCATATTTCTCGAGCGGGAAAGGTGCTGGACTAATGTGGCACGCGAATGAAATGAATGGGAACGTGTAGGCGTTAGCTCGTGGACTTTGATGCTCAATGATGTGAACTGACAGAAGTACTATTACGCATCACATGAACCCTTATCGTTCCAATTTTGGAAGGAAGTGACAAAAGAATGAAAAATAATTGCATCATTAGTGTGACTATTTTGAGAACCTCCGGTTAAAAAGACGAGCTATGATCTCAACGAGTAAAAAAGCGAACGCACTTCCCAGGAAAACTGCGAAGAGCAACTCCTCCTATCCACATAGAAAGCCTAATTCTGTGCAAAGCATGACAAATGAGCATTAGCTGTTGACGGAACGGTTTGGGAAGCGCCACGCATTTTGTTCACATATAGCCAAGCGAGAACATTTCGATGCTCCTCTGCCATGCCATAAAAGGGCACGTCACATAACCTTTGTGAAACATGCTTTGTTTAACATAGCTGCGATCATTACCTCAGAAGTGCCGAGCAGGGTCGACCCGTGACGTTTCGCACTTTCCAGAATTTTCCACGGGCCAGCCCCTCCTGTAAGGGTCTCCGATGGCGAACCCCCACTACAACCCGAGACTCCGGGCTCCCCATTACAAACTCTCGCTAACATCAACCGCCACCTCTCCATCACGGCTTCACTGGTGTCTACAGTAGGATGATTCTGCGATCAGCCACTTCCCTCACCAAAAGCGTCGAGTGGGGGAGGGAGGAGAGGGGAATATATCACCTCGCCCATCACTCAACCAATTACTAATCCAACCCTAAATGCGACCCCCTTCCAACACCAACCACATGCGACTCCCTCGTTAGAATAGTGCGAACGCACGGTTAACTCTGGTGCGGAGGTAAAGAAGGCATGGTTGCTCTAGCCAATCTTGACCCTTAGCCTTCCAGGTGCTACTACTAATACTTCCACTACTATGTTACCGCAAAAGGGAGTGAAAGATGATCGTGAGAATTTGCCTAAAGGAGTGGGGTTAACGAGCAGTCACTTCTGATTTGACATGCGCCTAAAGGCACGCGTCGCGATCAAATTGGTGAGCTGTCAGAAACCAGACAAGAAGTGAAAAGAGGAACGCTAGTGACATGAAAAGCGAAAGCAGCCCCATCAAAAACACTTCAAAACACGTATCTCTCCGTTACCGCCGTGTGAACGGAGAGAACGGCGAGAGAGATGCTTACGCGAGAGAGCACAGACACGCCACGTGTCACCGAACAAAGGATGAAGATGGCAGCTGGTCGCAGCGTTCCAACTAGGCATCGGCTTCCTTGTCGTGTACTTTTGAGTCGTGAACAGCAATATACAGTAGCGGTCAAAAGTGTTCGCCAAAATTCGCCAAAACGGTTTTCCTTGCTTTTCATTTTTTCATAGCAAAAAATCGATAGTGGTCTCCAAAAATTTTTTATTTTAAACATCCTGATTCTCTAAAGCTTGGAATTAAAAGACCCTAGAAAACATAGAACATCAGTCTTTGGAGGGCGTTACTCAAGCGGCAAACAGTATAATTAACTGAAAATCGTTTCGGCGAACACTTTTGACCGCTACTGTACCTCCGTGCCTGGGGGTCCTGCTACCTCACCCAGCAACGAATTTCTGCGGCAAAAGGATCGCGGACGCTCGTGCCTTTTAAGTCCTACCCTAAAATTTAATCAAGCACGAATGAAACGCTCACTTCGAGCTGAACAGGTGGTCGGAAACATATCCAGAAAAGCCACTGGAATCGGATTTTTTTTTCGTGTGAAAACCCGTGGCCTTCTCCGAGAAAAAGGATGTGTGTTCGTTCGCCCTGGTTAGTTTCCAACTTCATGTCATCGTAAGATTCAATGACGTCACATGACTACTGTAAGCACCTCCGCTTTACCTCGCTGTTTGTGAGTTGCTGAACAATAGGTGATTCTCAGTATTGTTGAAAGGGTTGCAAATGGATAAATATTGCCAGCTATTATAATATTTTCTCTAACGAGATCCGCAATTTGCAGGATAATGTGAGCTTTGACGCATTGCTGGCTGGGTCTCTCATGAATTATTCAGTTGTGAGATGACACCTCCTCACATCTTTAAGTGAAGCGCAATGGAATCCTTGGGCGATTCGCCTGACATCATTTCCCACATACATCGATGACGAGAGCATCTCGCCGCGTTGTGGTGTTTCATGAAGTTCCCCCGGCGAAGCGGAAGTTATTGAGCGCTCAATCGGTAATGATTTGTTTTCCGAAGACCGTTCTTTTGATAATGAGTCAAATCACGTAAGTGTTTTTATGGGAATCTGCTGAAGCAAACAGCACAACAAGTCAAAAATACACCTACCTGCGTAGTGTCGCACATCCCCAAGTGTTGGTGAACGGCAGATTGAGACCGACAAAATCGAACCCTCGCCGTGACGGCAAAGTGGCTCCGTCGGTACTGTTCAACTGGTTGATACCCAGATGCCATTTACCGATCATCCCAGTAGCGTAGCCTGAACCAACAGACAATGGAAGGACCTTAACGGACGTCTTAACCCCTTAATTCATAGGAGATTGAACCTATACAGCCTTTTGCTGCAACAGCTGCAAATTTTATAAATAGATTGAAAAACACACATCACTTTTCCAACCTGTAACATTCCACACCTACTCAATTTTGTTTTCATCCATGTGCAAAATATGGTAGGATAGGGTGTGCCATAAATATCGCACGAAGGTATTTGAGTCATGGAGACCGTAGTTCAAAACAAAATTCTGCAGATGCATTCCACGAACGGAAATTCTCGAGATCATTAAATATGGCTCCCTCCGGCACAATTTGCAGCTTGTGGAAGCCTGAGGTAGGCTTTGACGTCGACACACTGCGTGTCATACTTTTCGCTGATGAAAACTGGTTGAACTTGGAAAGAACTTAAAGGGCAGTGGTCACTACGGCCGGAGAGTAGTGTGGTTTTGATGAGGACGTCGATCTTCATTGGTGGAGGGGTTCTGTGAGGGGTACGAAACATTCGCATGCCACTGGCTTAGTCCACCAATCACATCCAGTGACGTCATCGAAACAGCACCGTAATCCAGCTACCGTGACCATTGCCTTCCAACGCCCGGAACCCTTTACGCTTGTTACAAGGGTTCATAAAATTTACTTGGAGAGCAGAATGGTGTGTCTTACACCTTCATCCTTTGCTGAGAGAATCAAAGCTTTCAGACTTCCAAATTTATTTTACCAATAGCGCTCATTTTAGTCCTTACGGACGTTTAAGAGGTCTGCGTTTGAACTAAGGAGTGCTTGACAAGAATTTACCCTGGGGATACTGTTCGGAACTTCTAGTATGACTCAAGAAGTACCGTTCGCTAATAAAGGATAGCTTGATGTCTGGCGTGTAGTGCCAATGTTTCCGAACTGCCTTTGAGGGTTAGTAAAAATGAATTTTCAGCGCGTCATTCCAGTGAATTTATGCTGAATGAAGCCGCTCTTTGGGTTACCCAAAGGCCTTGGGCCAAATTTTTAGACTAATTCCTGCGTTCCGATCCCGCCGAAAACATTTGAATTCCCATGAGACACCTAACACCCTCAATCATTCCGTTTGGTGCACTTTAATTATCTGCAGAGTTTCACGTTTCATGACGTTTACGTTCAAATGGCATTTTCTATGCCATAATTATTTTGCTACCTTACTCATAGCGCACCCTGTAGGAAAAAATTAAGATATGAACCCTACCTGCTTCTTTAAGCATTTCGGCCATGGTCGTCTCATGCTTTGGCAATCCTCCAATATCGAAGGGCATGAAAACTCTTCTTCCACCTACGACGCCGAGACGAATAGGTAATCGGCCTGGAAATCGAAATCGTGAGAAATTCGACACGAAATGGCAAACATTAAGTTGCCCGGAAAGTTCATTGCCCGCACTCTTTTGCTAATATTTTAATAATGGCCCGGCTTTGAATGTTTAGGACATACACCCGCCACACGCTGCAACACAACGTCCAGGCACCCAAAGAACGCACTGAGCGGCTTGACCCCCTGATCTTCGTACTTAAGGGCAGTGGTTACGATAAAGTGGACGCGAGCCAGAAAATTGCCCACACGAATTTTCTTTAAATCCAGACCGCAAGGGAAGCGAAGCACATCAGAGTTACAGCGTAGTTGAGCTACAATTATGAAAACCGCTCCACACTAAAACCGCTAGTATTGCAAACCCCCACCAGTGGAATCATTCGATTTCATTTGAAATTCCAATTCGGATTAAGGAGCCGTATTTTAAGGCGGGGTTCATTTCATCAACGGCTTTTGCCCAAACATAGGCCGGTAACTCGTCCAAAATCATTCCCAATAAATGCCCACCTAGATCGGTTTTCATCAATTTCACTTTTTTTTCCCTTTGGCGCTTATTAATCCCCCGCATGTCCGTCCTGAACTCATCTCAAGATTATCGCACTCGTCGCCTCCTAGGTGACTGTAGAGGCATACAGGGCGAGATCTGGGCTACAGGTGCTCAGGGAAAAACTAGCCAGCTATACTACTTGCACGGTAGCCTGGGTCATTTGCCAGCGTGAGCCCCGGAGAAAATGACAACCGACCACTGTCCTTGACCATGCAACTGGGTGTCAGCCAGTATCAGTGAAGCCCTTCTAAACCGCGTACCTGCGCCCCGCGCTCAGTCTGGTTCTGGGTCACATGGAAACGCTTCCAGAAAATGCTGAGAGGAGAATCAGCTCCAGGAGGCTTTTCACGACTATTTCAAGCCCCAGTTCTCGGCCTTTGAGAAAGTTACCCGATCGTTGGCGCAGACTGCTAGACGATGGTAGTGCAAACCGGAGATCCCTAGGACCTTTGGATTTTTCATATACACCATATAGCATTGGAGGGCTCTTTTGGCGACCATCTTACTCTTCAAACCGTACTGTACCGACCAGTCATAACCCGGCTCTTGTCACGGGCTGGCACATGCTGTCTGCCGAGTAAGCCTGAGTGAATCGTGTACCTTCATTTGCCATTCGATCTATTTCAGTGTATTCTTGCGTTGGATGGCCATATGAGGCAATGTCGCCCCAACCTGAATAGCTAAATATAGCAGCTATTTACTAGAAAACTCTGCAATAACTGATTATTATTATTATTGCATCAATTATGCAGTCCTAAATTATACAACTCGTTTTAACTATAAGCGATCACAGATTCCCTTGTCTAGAGCATTTATGATATCCGTATTTTCTACAAATACCCTCGTCTTCAAATGACCAGAAATTGTGCAATTGCAGAAATTGACGTGGCATTAACGTGGCATCGATTCAAGAACATCTTTGAGCACACGTGATGTCACCTTTTCATCGAGAATTTAGCCACGTGTGCCAATGCCACGTCAATTTCTGCAATTGCACAATTTCTGGTCATTTGAAGGCGATGGTAGATATATTAATAGGACATGGATAGAGCACAGCTCGTCCGCTGTGAACAAAATAGCACAACTTTTTGAGTAGGAACCCTATGAACCATTCTAATAATATGGCTGTAGACTAATCGGCTTTAATAGCGGATGATTTTATATCGAACTCTGAAGGAAAAAAAACGCAGTGGATAATTACGCCTGTGAGCGAAATTGTGCGACTATTCAAGGAAGTTCACTGAGGAATCTCAAACTATGAACCTCGTAAGGTAGTGTCGAAAAATTCCTAAGAATTAGGCAGCAGCAGGACACCTTCTGTACTTACTAATTGGTACTGATAATCGTGTACTGTAGAGAAAAGCGGTACGAGGGGAATCCATAAATTTCTCTTTTTTGAACTTTTCTACAACGGTCTTTGAGACTGGGTATTAAAGAAAGATTAGCGTGTTGTACTCTGACGTAGTTAGAGATAGCAAGTTCAGGATCACCTCTATCAGTCTGCTGTTTTGAAGAGAGCGAACTAAGCACTGCTGGAAGTGGAATTTTTGGCGGCATGTATACTTTAGGCGCTATCACAAGATAAGGGGACTCTGCGGCGTTTGAGAAACCAACGCCATTAAGAATA